TGACTCCAATGGGATGAAGTTCAACAAGGCCAAGTGCCGGGTCCTGCACTTTGGCCACAACAACCCCCTGCAGCGCTACAGGCTGGGCACAGAGTGGCTGGAGAGCAGCCAGGCAGAAAGGGACCTGGGGGTGCTGATTGACAGGAGGCTGAACATGAGCCAGCAGTGTGCCCAGGTGGCCAAGAAGGCCAATGGCATCCTGGCCTGCATCAAGAACAGTGTAGCCAGCAGGAGCAGGGCGGTGATCCTTCCCCTGTACTCTGCATTGGTGAGGCCACACCTTGAGTATTGTGTTCAGCTCTGGGCCCCTCAGTTGAGGAAGGATATTGAGATGCTGGAGCGGGTCCAGAGAAGATTGGTGAGTAGCCCTGAATACATGGATTTTAAGTACTGTGACTTTCCTTGTATACGAAAGGGAACTATGCAAGAACTGGCATTAAATAGGTTTTAGTCCGGGTATTGGTGATATTCCTAGGTCATGACATGGCGGGTCCTTGGAGTAGAAATGTGCCTAGATCAGGGGATGGCTTGAGTGAGTGGTTATGGGATGAAGCATGGAAATCTACGCACTTAGACCATGAAATAATATGTCAGAAATACCTACATGCATGATATGTCTAATGTGGAAAATAATGTAATGCAAAGTAATACATACCCTAAAATGTAAGATTTGGGGGGGAGGGGGGGAGCCCCCTCATTTTATTAGGGAGAAGTTAGGATTTGTGATGAGTTGATGAGGGTTTTAACTCTAAGAAGGGAGAGAGCCTTCAGTTTTTGGTTTACAAGACCAATGTTTTTTATAAACTATTAGAGTTACTAGAATTTTAGTAATTTTTTCTCTAGTGTCCCGATGATAGGGAATAGGATGAGTAGGATAGTGAAGTAGGTGAGTGAGGCTAACTGGCCAATGATGATGAATGGGTGTTCTACTGGTTGGCTCCCGATTCATGTGAGAATGAGAAGGTTGGCTACTAGGGTTCAGAATAGTAGTTGGGAAAGAGGGCGGAACGTTATTGTGCGTTGTTTTGATATGTGGAGGAATGGGGCTAGGAATAGGACTAGAACAGAGGCAGCGAGAGCTAAGACTTCGCCGAGTTTGTTTGTGATAGATCGTAAGATAGCATAGGCGAAAAGGAAGTATCATTCTGGTCTGAAGTGAGGGGGAGTTACCAGCGGGTTAGCGGGCGTGAAATTTTCGGGGTCACCTAGGAGGTTAGGTGAGAATAGAGCTAGAGTTATTAGTGGGAGAAGTAGGATGATGAAGCCTAGGATGTCCTTAGTAGAGAAGTAGTGGTGGAACGGAATTTTGTCACAATCTGAGGAAATTCCTGGGGGGTTGTTTGATCCTGTTTCATGGAAAAAGGTTAAGTGAATTAATGTGAGACCTGCAATTATAAATGGGAGTAGGAAGTGGAGGGCGAAGAATCGGGTTAGTGTGGGGTTATCGACTGAGAATCCTCCTCAAGCCCATTCTACGAGTGTTGGACCGATGTATGGGATTGCTGAGAATAGGTTGGTGATTACTGTAGCGCCTCAGAATGATATTTGTCCTCATGGGAGTACATAGCCGACAAAAGCAGTTGCTATTAGGGTTAGAAGAAGGATAACGCCTGTGTTTCAAGTTTCTTTATATAGGTAGGATCCATAGTAAAATCCTCGTCCGATGTGTAGGTAGATCCAGATAAAGAAGAAGGATGCTCCGTTTGCATGAAGGTTCCGAATGAGTCAGCCGAATTGGACGTTTCGGCATGTATGGGCAACTGATATAAAGGCTAGAGAGGTGTCTGCAGTATAGTGTATTGCTAGGAGGAGGCCAGTGATGATTTGTGTTGCTAGGCAGATTCCTAGAAGGGAACCAAAGTTTCATCAGGCTGAGATGTTTGATGGTGTAGGGAGGTCAATGAGAGTTGTTTACTATTTTTAAAAGTGGATGATGTTTTCGTAAGTTGGGTGCCATTAATAGTTAGTTCTGTATATGGATAAGTACTATTACTTTTATCTATCCCGTTTCCTAGGATCCATACAAAACTAATCAGGCCACACCTCCCATCAACTCCTAAATCAATAGAACTCAACTTCCCGACGCTCAGGAAGCCCCGGAATTTTCTTATATCAGGAGAGAGAGATCAATTAGGTGGGATGCAATGGTTTGTCCGTTACTTAGAAGTTTAGTTGAGTTTGGGCGGTGTGTTAGGGGGTTAAAGTAGCCTAAGGTAGTGGAGAAGTTAGTGAGGATATTTTGTTTAGGATTAATGAAAGCGTGGGTTAATTTTGATAGTTCTAGTGCAATTGTAATGCCTAATACGGTTACAATAATGGCTGTAGTTTTAGTGATAAAGGGCATAGTTATTGGGGAGGTTTTTGTAGGGACAATAAATGAAGTAATTAATAAACCAGCTAGGATAGTTCCGAGGGCGAGGCGAGTGATCGAGTTTGTGATTGCTGGGTGGTTTTCATTGATTGGGGTTAAGGGGGAGATTCGGGTAAAGTTAGTTTGGACGAGTAAGGATATGCGTATACTGTAGGTTGCAGTGAAGGATGTGGCCAGGAGAGTTAGGACAAGCGCTCAGGTATTAAGGTATGATGTGTTTAGGCTTTCAATGATGAGATCTTTGGAGTAAAATCCTGCTGGGGATGGGGTTCCTATGATAGCGAAGTTGCCAATGGAAAGGCATGATATTGTTGTAGGAAGTAATTTTTGTATTCCTCCTATTTTTCGGGTATCTTGTTCGCCATTGAGGCTATGGATGATGGATCCTGAGCATAGGAACAGTATTGCTTTGAAAAATGCATGAGTTGAAATATGTAGAAAGGTTAATTGTTGAAGGTTTAGGCCGATTGTTACTATTATTAGACCTAATTGACTTGATGTAGAGAAAGCAATGATTTTTTTGATGTCATTTTGGGTAAGAGCGCATGTAGCGGCAAATAGTGTGGAGAGAGCTCCCAGGCAGAGACAAAAAGTAAGAGCTACTTGGTTATTACAAAATATGGGGTGGGTGCGAAAAAGGAGGAAGATTCCTGCTACTACTATGGTGCTAGAGTGGAGTAGCCGTCTATGTCCTCATCCCGGAAGATACCGACGACCTTCAGTACCCACATCCGGCTTGACCCGCCTAAAAGGACATCGACGCTCCCCCTCCTCATTACCTTTAACCCTCACCCTCATTACCTTTAACCGAGACCCTACTATCAACAACCTAAAGCCATGTGTTTATGGAGGAGGCTAGCCAAGCTATCGATAAAATTAGACCAATATCTCCGATACGGTTGTAAAGTACGGCTTGGAGGGCAGCGGTGTTGGCTTCTGCTCGTCCGTGTCATCATCCAATGAGAAGGAAGGATATGATCCCGACTCCTTCTCACCTGATGAATAAAAGGAATATGTTATTAGCAGTAATGAGAATGAGTATAGCGATGAGAAAGGTGAGGAGGTAAAAGAAGAATTTTGTGGTGAAGGGTTCTGAGCTTATGTATCAGGATAGATCATGTTATGACGAGTGCGATAGGGAAGAATATTAGTGAATAATGGTCTATTTTAAAGCTTAGTGGGATTTTAAAGTTTGTGATGAATTTTCATTCTCAGTAGAGGGAGATACTCTCAATATTTAGATACATAAAAAGGGTTATAGGAATTAAGCTAGTGATAAGGGAGGCTTTAATTGTCTGAATGATTGTAGTTGGAGAGTTTTGGTAGTTTTTGAGTAAGAGGGGGAGAAAGATTGGGGTGAGTAGGATAAGAAGGGTAAGGAGTATAAAGGAGTTTAGGATTAATTGAAGGTCCACTAGTTTTACTTGGATTTGCACCAAGGTAGATGGTTCCTAAGACCAGTGGATTGCTACTATCCTTTCAAAGTAAGGGGGCTGAGGTTTTAGACTCAGATGCAAGAGTTAGCAGTTCTTGCTGGTTTAACCTCCCCTCGGCAGGCAAGAAGATTTTAACTTCTATTTTTAGGATCACAGTCTAATGTTTGGATTGAAACTATGCTTGCATGAAGGAATTGCTGAGATGAGTTCTGGTTTTAGGATAAGTAGGAGGGTGGGTAGGATCTGGAGGGTTACTAGTAAACGTTCCCGAGTATTTGAGTTTTGGATGGATGTGATATAGGTAGGGATAGGACCTCGTTGAGTTGTAAGTAGCATGTCTAGGGTGTATAGTGCAGTTAGGAGGGTTGCGATTCCAGTTAAGATAATAGTGAAAGTAGATCAGTTAAAGAGGGTGATTATAATAGTTAATTCGGCTATGAGGTTAGTTGTGGGGGGAAGTGCTATGTTTGTGAGGCTTACTAGGAGTCATCAGATACCCATGAGAGGGAGAAGAGGCTGAAGGCCTTGACTTAGGAAAAGGATCCGACTATGGGTCCGTTCGTAGTTTGTGTTAGCTAAGCGGAATAATATAGAGGATGTGAGACCATGGGAGATCATTAGGATTATAGCACCTGAGAATGATCAGTGAGTTTGAATTATGACTGCGGCTACGACTAGGCCTATATGGCTTACGGAGGAATATGCAATTATGGATTTTAAGCCGATTTGATGTAGGCAGATGGAGCTTGTCATTAATGCTCCTCATAGAGCTAGGGATAGAAATGGGTAGTGTAGCTGGTTGAGGATAGGGTTTGTAATCATGGATACACGTATAATACCGTACCCTCCAAGTTTTAGTAGGAGGGCAGCTAGGAGTATGGAGCCTGCAATTGGGGCTTCTACATGTGCTTTTGGGAGTCATAAGTGTAACCCGTAGAGGGGGGCTTTCACTATAAAGGCAAGTAGCAGGGCTAGGCTGGCTATAGTTCCTGTTCATGAATTAGTGAGGAATGGGTGAGTAAGTTTTATTATAGTAAGTTGTATGGTTCCTATTTGAGTGTGAAGGTGTAGGATAACAACTAATAGAGGTAGAGAGCTGATGAGGGTGTAGAATAGTAAATAAATACCAGCACTTAAACCTTCTGGTTGGCTTCCTCATCGTGTTACTAGAATGAGAGTGGGGATTAGGGTAGCTTCGAATGCAATGTAAAATAGTATTAGTTCTAGTGATGCGAATGCTAGTAAGATAAAAGGTTGGGTGAGAATTATGGTTAGAATGAAAATGTGTTTTTGTGCAGGTGGTTCTTGTTGGAGATGGTTTTGGCTAGCTAGAATTATGAGGGGGAGAAGCCAGCAAGATAAGACTAGTAATGGGGACGAAATTTGGTCTGTTCCAAGTCATTGAGATAAATTTTTGTTAGCATAATAAGTTGAGGAGAGTCAATGCAGGCTAGCAGTTGCAATTAAGAGGCTGTGGGAGGTAGTGTTAATTCATAGATATTTTGAAGGAGACAAGAGTGCTATTGGGAGAAGCATGATTGTGGGGAAAATGATTTTTAAGATTGTAGTAGGTTGAGATTGTTAAGATGGTCAGATCCGTGAGTTCGGGCTGAGGCCACTAGAATTGTGAGGCCGGTACCTGCTTCGCAGGCTGAGAACGCTAGTATTAGAATAGGTATTAGGGTAGAAGAGGTTGTTTGTATCTGAATGGGTCATAGGGAGAGAGCAATGTATATAGATAGTATTATGCTTTCTAAGCATAGTAGGGAGGAGATTAGGTGGGTTCGATGGAAGGCTAGTCCTAGGTTGCTTAGGGCAAAGGCAGAATAAAATGTTAAATGTCGAAAAGTCATAGAGGAGGTCGCAGAGTAGGACTGTGATTTGTTGAGCCGAAATCAACTGTCTTCGTTAGACTAACTTTCTGTGGTTATGCTGCTCATTCTAGACCCCCTTGGCCTCATTCATATACTAGTCCTAGTGTAAGGAGGAGGAGTATAGTGGTGGCTCATATTAGGGTAGCAAGAGGGGATTGAAGTTGGGTAGCCCATGGGAGGGGCAAGAGAAGAGCAATTTCTAAGTCGAAAAGAAAAAATAGGATCGCAACTAAGAAGAATCGAATTGAGAAGGGAAGTCGGGCGGAGCCTAGTGGATCAAATCCACATTCGTAGGGAGATAGTTTTTCTGAATCTGGGTTAGTTTGGGCTAACCACAAGTTTAGTATGGTTAGGATAATGCTTAGTGATGAGGCTAAAGTAAATATAAAAAGGATTATGTTGATTGCTCTTCTCTGGTTTTGGTCCAGATTCTAGAGATTGGAAGTCAATTGTAATTATTATACTAGAAGAGCAGGATCCTCATCAGTAGATAGTGATGTAGAGGAATAGTCAGATAACGTCAACAAAATGTCAATATCAGGCTGCTGCCTCGAAACCAAAATGATGGTGTGGTGTAAAGTGGAATTTGATAAGCCGGAGAAAGCAGATAAATAGGAAGGAGGAAATCGCAAAATAAAAAGATAAGGACCTAAATCTAGTTACCAATTGTCCTGCCCCCTGAGAAAACTGAGCCTCATAAAGCCTGATGGTTACAGCAGAGCCTAAGGTAACCTTCAGAAAAGTGAGGTCATTTCAGGAGCACTTGCTTGAGCTTCTGTCTATTAATAAAGAGCTGTATGAATGGAGTGTCGCTAAACAGTCCATTTTTTCTTCCTATTTTAGGTTTAGTGAATAAATATGAACTCAGTGGACTTCAGGGCTGGATCATTACCCACATGCTTTGGTTTGCAAATGCCTATGAGTTCCACTTCTTCTGCCCCTGTGATAGAGCCTTGCCATCAAAGGGAGCAGCGGCTGGAGACAGGGCAAAGAGGGGGGTCAGGCTGGTAGGATGGTGCCAGTGGGCCGTGAGCCAGAAGCCTGTAAGGCCTGGGGCCAACAGGGTGTCAGGAGACAAGCGGGAGGCCCTTGGGAGGAGGAAAGCTGGGCAGGCCCCAAGGCTCCTGGGCCTCTCCCTTGCCAACCCTTTGCCCAAGGCCCCGAGGCAGAGGTGGGTGTGCATCTGTTCTTGCAGTTCTGGCAGGTGCTTCTTGTCAGAGATCAAGAAGCTTCTGCAGCTTGTAGACAGATAAGATGCTGAATAGCATCTGGAATTCAGGAGGAAACAGTTTGTGACCTGCTGAGCCACTTGGATCCTCACAAGTCTATGGGACCCAAAGGGATTCACCCAAGGGCGATGAGGGAGCTGGTGGAAGAGCTCGCCAAGCCGCTCTCCCTCATTTACCAACAATCCTGGCTCACTGGGGAGGTCCCAGAGGATTGCAAGTTGGGGAATGACACGCTGATCCACAAAAAGGGCCAGAAGGAGGACCCGGGAAACTGCAGACCTGTCAGCCTGACCTCAGTGCCTGGCAAGGTTACAGAGCAGATCATCCTGAGTGCAATCACACAGCACCTACAGGATGGACAAGGGATCAGAGCCAACTAGCAAAGGTTTAGGAAGGGCAGGTCACGTCTGACCAACCTGATCTCCTTTTATGATCAAGTGACCCGCTTGGTGAATAAGGGGAAGGCTGTAGATGTGTCTTCCTGGGCTTCGGCAAAGCCTTGGACACGGTCTCCCATAGCATAAAAAAAGCTGGCGGTCCAGGGCTTGGACAGGTGCACTTTTTGCTGGGTTAAGAACTGCCGCATGGCCGGGCCCAGAGAGTGATAGTGAACAGGGCTGCATCCAGTTGGTGGCTGGTCACTAGTGGTGTCCCCTAGGGATCAGTGTTGGGCCCAGTTCTGTTTCATATCTTTCTTGATGATTTAGATGAGGGAATTGAGTCTACCATTTCCAAATTTGCAGAGGATACCAAGCTTGGTGGAAAGTGTGGATCAGCTGGAAGGCAGGAGGGCTCTGCAGAGGGACCTTGACAGACTGGAGAGTTTGGCTGATTCCAGCGGGATGAGGTTCAACAAGGCCAAGTGCCCAAGTCATGCACTTTGACCACAACAACCCTCTGCAGCAGGGGACAGAGTGGCTGGAGAGCAGCCAGGCAGAAAGGGACCTGGGAGCTTGGATGGACAGGAAGCTGAACATGAGCCAGCAGCATGCCCAGGTGGCCAAGGTCACAAACAGTGTGGCCAACAGCTGCAAGGAAGTGATTACTTCCCCTGGACTCAGCACTAATGAGGCCACACCTCAAGTTCTGTGTCCAGTTCAGGCCCCTCAGGAAGGGTGTCAGGGTGCTGGAGCAGGTCCAGAGAAGAGCAACCAGGCTGGTGAAGGGACTTGAGCACAGGTCCTACGAGAAGGGAGGGAGGGAGGGAGGGAGGGTTGTTTAGTCTGGGGTTGGGGTTGTTTAGTCTGGAGCTGGGGTTGTTTAGTCTGG